AAAGTATATTTTATGCTCAGACCTAAAGCTGGTTGGTCCAGAGACTCAGACACATGATCACCTCCACTGGTGATTTTGCAAATAATTTGCTTTTCCATTTGCTTGCAAAAATAATTTCCTTTTTGTAAGACTTTGGATTCAAGATGATACCTTTCCTGGTTTTGAATCAAGAGCAGTTTAGTGAAAAGAAACTGGTGTTAAAGTCTGGAGGCCTAGGACTAGGACCTGGCTCTGCACTCTGCAGCTGTGAGATCTTGGACCAGTCACTTATGACTGTGAACCTCAGCTTTGTTTACATCACAGGATCTTAAATCTGGAAGAGCCTCCTGCCTGCCTATATTAAAAGGGCTTGAGAGTCAAAAATGGTAGTAACAAACACATATTCATCAAAATTGCTGAATAATTATAAAGTATTATTATTTCCATTTAATAGCTGACAGTTGCCCAGAGAGAGTATTTTTCTGATAAAAGAAATATTCCTGATCAATCTTTTACCAAAGGGAATCTGCAATGTGAAATTAACCTTAACCAAATCCTCAGAGTCTAGTTTTAACACATACCATGAAAACAACAGGGATGCAAGTCAGAAATGAAAGCATAAAGCTAGAACAACCTGAGAGTTCTCTGTTTTGGAGGCAAATATTTTGTTGATTTTTATCACTATATCTGGGTGCCCACACTTACAGAATATAACCCCTGCTCCCATGTAACCCATTGAATTCATGGATAAATTCAGACTTAGGTGCCTGTTAATGCTGTTATATAAATGGATCTGCCTGTAGCCTCATGCCCGTAGAGAACATGCATGTGCCCAAGTGATTATCTATACATAGGTGATATTCTTCTCCAGTATTGGGACCCAATTCCAAAAATTATTATGGCGGTAAACCAAATAGTTCTGTTTCATTCATAAGAAGTACATTGCACCCTGTGCCAGCCTTTGTAGCTGTCCCCTCCCCCCATGGTTCCCTGCCTCCACCATACTTCATACAGGAACTACGAGGTTTAGGTCAGGTCAACTTGTGTTCTGTTTCTGAGCTCTTTCACTAGTTATGTGGCCTCCATATGTCACAGATTTTCTGCATCTGTTACATGGGACTAAGGTGGTAAGGACAGAATACCGCTCAGTTGTAGGTGCTGTGGTTAACATCAGGTGGGGTCTTATGAGTTTGTCATTCCTGACTAGACTGCTGCCTTAGACCTACCAGATTGCTCTGATTCTCTCCATCCAGGCTGTCTTGCCCTTTAAACTAGAATTTCAGAATCGGAAAGACTCGATACAAATTCACATTCCAAAACATCACATTCATCATGTCACCTACTAGACCCAAACCTTCTGAAGGCCATTGCATGGGATCCACAGAAAGATCCTCAGATCAGCTGTTGAAACCCACACCACTCACCACCTCCCCTGCTGCCCCGCTTCATCATTGCTGTCTTCCTCATTTCTTTTCTGTGTCTCTCACCGTGACACTCCTCACCATGCAGCCATCACTGCCCATGAGCCTTTTCATTCAGTTTTTTTTTCCCAACTCAGGGTGTTTTTCTCTCTGACTCAGAATTGGTCACTCAACAGATTAGTAAGGCCACCTTCCACCTTAAGAAACATTCTGGGAGCCTTAAGGATGCACCTGACACTTTTGCTCCCATAGAAGATGGTGCTTGCAGAAAGGTTTTCAGTGGCACAAAGATGTGACCACTCTGGAGAAAAATTTCTTCGTTCTTGATTTTTTTTTTTTTTTCTGCATTGAAGCCTGCCTGTGAACTGTGGAGGTCTTTGAGGGCTGCAGGGAAGACATTCCTTCCTAAATTGGCAGATTCTCCTGCCTACTCTTGTAGGGTGTCTGTCCTGTTTCCTCATCTCCTGCACCACTTTTCACTGGGAAAACAGCTGGGCAGAGCTGCAGGAGCCAAGACTACTTCTGCATTGCGGCTCTGGGCTGTGGAAGACAAAGAGAGAGATTGCCACCTATTGACAGACGTGTCACCTGCAAAGAGGAATGGTTGTATAACTGGTGGCCTCCCTCATCGCTGCAAACAGGACTCCGGGGTTGTAAGGCCCATTGCTTTTTTCCATTCCATCAGCCCTCCTTCTTTCAGTATTACTATTCCACTGTAAGCAAGGACAAGTAAGAATGGGGTCATGACAGCTGAAGGTGACAATGATAGCGTCTCAGTGGGAAAACTGAAAATAAATTACCCATTGTAGTAGCAGCCATTTTCTGTTGTGCGGCAGACACTCTGCAGCATGCAATATGTCTTATTCAGTCCTCACAACAACCCTCTGAGAATCTGTATTTCCATTTTATACATGAGGAAACTGAGGTTTAAAGAGAGTACCTTGCCCATGACCATGGCAAGAAAGGAACAGAGGTGGGATGTCGAGCTCCTCGACACTTTCTCCTTACGCCTATTAATTACACAGTTTATATGCCCATTTAGTTTCCTTAACCTTAAGTCATCTGGACATGAAATAAGTCTAATATATAATAAATCATTTAGCAGGTATTTTATAAAGAGAAGGTATGTATAAATAGAAGATTGGTTATCTATTATCTGGAGATCTGGTTTGAATCCTAGCTCCTCTCATTTCTAACTTTGGGACTTTGGGCAAGTTATTTGACCATTCTGATCTTCAATGTCCTCATGTATAAAATGGATATTAATAATATACATGTTCTTGCAGGGTTGTCCACACAGTAAGATGAAGTTTTATAAAAAAAAAAAATTCTTTGTAAATTTTAACTGTACTATTCAAGGGTGAGTCAAAGATATTGTCTCTGAATGGATTTTTGAAACTATTTTTGAAAAATGACTTGTACTGAATTCAATTTATAAGGATAAACTTTTGTTTTTAATCCTCACTAAAAACAGCATATGATAAAAGGAGGCCCTGTAAGGGTCATCTGCTATTCTGCAGTCCTCTGTAAGATATTCCCATTAATCACACTTTGCATGGGCAGCTTGCTTTACTGTGATGCATTTCCAAATATATTATCTCATTTCATCTTCGTAGTATTTACTCCTATTTTACACATGAAGCTCAAAAAATTAAAGTGACTAGTTAGGGATGTGCAGCAAGCCAGAAGAGGTTTGTGGGTGTTTGCTTGTGGAACTGTGTGCAGGTGTGTCCTTGAGTGCAGGCAATGTGTCTGAGCATGCTTTTTGTGTGTCTGAAGCACATGGGACACACCCACAGGGATTGGTACATCTAATGAAAGGGAGGGGGTGGGGAGAAGGGTATCCTGAGATTGTTTTTTTGTTGATGGTGGTTTTTTAACACTGATCAGCAATAGCTTTTTCCTATTCCTTTTCAATATTGCATTACATTCCCAGGCAGAGTTCTCAGAAGAGGGCCCTGTCTGGAGAATAGGCTTGATTTTATCAGCATTCCATGTTTAGAAACAACAGCTCCCTGGTCCACCTACTCCTCTGGGAATTACTTCCTCTTTTCTTTCTTGCTTGCCAGCTTTATTGAATTTGCCTTAGCAACATCCAAAAAAGAATTGGTTTAGCAACAGCATGTGAACCAATGAAATGTGAGCATGCAAATTACTTCTAGACCAATAGGAGACCTCTCCAAGACTGTCAAGCCCCCAAGGTGGGGGGTGCGGGGGTGGGGGAGGGCGCRGAGAACAACCAGGAGTTTGCAGAGCAGCCTCAGGGTGGCAGCAAACCAACTGGATTGGCCATGGGTCCCCAGCTTTCAAGCCTCTACTTTATTTTCTTGCTTTTTTTTTAATTCATAAATATAACATATTTACCAGCTATAAAAGCCTTACTGTGGCCTGCAATATGGACTCTTGCCTTTACCACAGCTAGCCCTGTGACCCCAGCATGCCACCTGCCATCTTTACTGTCACAATCAGTGCCAACCCATTGGCCTTTGGTGACTGCCAGCCTAGCCAGTCAGGAAGAAGGGCTGAAGAAATTTCATTCTCTTTAGTTTAATCACCTCTACTGCTGGGCTGAGTAGTGAGTGAGGTGGAGTTGGCTTTCTGCCACCAATGAATGGGAGGGAAGGAATGTGCCACCAACAGATTAGCTCCTGTCAGTACCCATATTTCCAGGTGGCATAGACTGAGGCTGTTCCCTGCTCTATCAGTTCTACCATATACATCTGATTGGGACTCCTGACCAGCAAGGGGCTTGAGGGGAGTTCTCTCTTTTGGGTGATTTGGCCCTCATATTCCTGAAGCCAAAGCAGACACTTATAGGGGACAAATATCAAATAACTCCATATTTCCATGGTTTAGCCATCTTTCTTTGTCTTTGAGATGATGTTGTATTTGACACCACCTGATGAGGTTTTAGTCTATGAGATGTTCATATTTCTTTCCAGTGTTCCTATCACTACCTGGCATAGTCTTTTCATCCTTTAAGAATCATTTGAGACGTCAAATCTTCAGAAAGTCCTATTTGATTCTTGCATTCCTCTGCTACCCTCCAGCTCCATGGGACCCCTATTATTGTACTTTCATTAATATATATATAATATATTATATATGAATATATATATTATATATGAATATATATATATACATATATATATACATGTATATATATATATATATACATGTATATATATATGTATATATTATATATATATATATATATATTCATTTCTAAATGTCTCTCCATGAGAGCCATAGAGCTTCTTGAGAAAAAGGATTGTCCTTTGTATCTCCAGCCCTAAATGTAGTGTTGACATATAATAGGTGCTGGATAATCATTTTCTAAAGAAAGAAAGCATGAAAGAAAGTAATTCTTACTCTTGGAGAAATAATCTTAGGGACTCAGAGATACCTGAGCCTAGGCCCAAGCAGTGCCAGGGAGTATGGTGCTGACTGTGGAGGATCAACTTTTGGCTGATCAAAACCCTTTAGCACCATGAGTTGCAATTCCAGACCAAAGTCCGAGCTTGAAAGATAATCACCACCATTGGCTGATCCTGTGATAAGCTTATCTCAGTAACATGGTTTCCTTTATTTGTCTTTTAGGAAGAACTAAGAAGCAAATCCAAAATCTGTGCCAATGTGTTCTGTGGAGCTGGCAGGGAATGTGCTGTCACAGAGAAGGGAGAGCCCACATGCCTCTGCATTGAGGTAGGTGCTTATGTCAGGAGCAGAATGACGGTGGCCAAGACCCGTGTGGCTGCCTTGCTGGAGCTGCCAATAAGCAGAGCAGTGCCAACAATTTCATTATCTTTATAAAAGTACACCTTGTCTACGTAAAAGGCATGTAGTATTTTTCCCCAGGGTTAAAAATCTGATGCATAGTTTTTAATGTAGAAGTTTTTCTTATAAAAAATATGTTTAGTTACATAAGAGCTTTTTAATTAAAAAATTGGCAATTGCTGGGTGCAGTGGCACATACCTGTGATCCCAGCAGCTGGGGAAGCTGAGGCAGGAGTCTTGCAAGTTCAAAGCCAGCCTCATTAACTTAGCCAATCCCTGAGCAACTTAGGGAGACCCTGTCTCAAAACAAACAATAAAGAAAACAAGCTAGGAATGTGTCTTAGGGCTTAGTGGTTAAGCAACTTTGGGTTCAACCCTGGAAACAAACAAACAAAAAGCAATTGTTTTATTTAAGCCAAATAGTATAAACATTTATTCAGACATAAAATTGATAATCTTTCCTCAAAACTGTCCAATCCCATTAGTCTGAGATAACTACTATTATCAGTTTTGTATTTATTGTTCCAGGGKTTTTTTTTGTGTGTGTGTGTGCTAATATAAACCTGTGTTTCCCCCTATTTTATGCAAAAATGAAATTACAATCCTTATAGATAAAAAGATATGTAATTTATATCTTGCACTCATCAATATATCATGGACAGCATTCCAGAACAGAACAGTTTTAACTCCTTTTAAAACTGATGCATAATATTTATTAATATAAAAGAACTAGGTTTATTAAATTATTTTTTCATAGATGGCCACGTAAGTGGTTCTTTGAGTGCTTATCACCACAAACAAAAACATTCCTGTACAAATTTCCTTTCATGCTTCTCCCTTTGTTTCTATAGGATCAAGCCACCAAGGCTCTAGGTCAAAAGATGTGCCAAGGTTTTTAAAATAGTGAACAGAAATGCAGGTTTTGCAATTTTGTTTTTAGATGACATCTAAAAAGCAAAGTGAGCCTTTGAAAGATAGTCAAGATTCTAGTAAATTCTCACTTCCAAGGTAGACATAAATACCTTGGATATGTGCTTTTTTTCSTTCCTCTGTCAAACCAACCTAAAACCTGGCAACACAGGTCTTTTCTCAAATAACTATATCAACTTAGTCCCCAGATTCAGGACCCTGATCCATTGCTGCAGAAAAACAAGTTTCCCAACTTGGAAACCTAAAAACCTGATCCTACTGAGGATCCTTTTGCTGTGAGAGGTCCTCAATAGAAGTATACTGACTACAAAGTGATGGCATAAGCCCTGACTTAGGATCTGGAAGCCTCAAGTCTAGTCTCAGCTTAGCCACATATAGTTGTGTGGTTTTGAGTGAGTGAACTAATTCCCACCAGATGCCATAAAGATAGTTTATATGTTTGTTTTCATCGACTCTTTCTTGTCCCTTTATCAGGTCTAGGCTGAATTTGCTTTCCCCTTCTTCCTTTCTCCCTTCAAGAAACACAAAAGTCTAAAGAAACCAAGCTTGACTGTGGTCTTGGCAAACCTTGATGGTGATCTTTGTCAGTAGGCAAAGCTGAACCTCGTTGCCAGACGAACCTTATTCCATATTCCTGTCCATAAGGATTTACTGTAGTCCCAATCCCAGCCTCACAACAGAGGTTGTGAAACTAGGAGGAAAACAAAGTGGTCCCCAAATACTAACAGAACAAGAGATCCCTATGATTAGTCCCTAAAAGAACTGAAATGTGTGTGTGTGTGTGTGTGTGTGTGTGTGTGTGTATGTGTGTGTGTTTCCCTACCCATCAATCTCCATATTCCCAGTTTTGGGTCATAAATTTTTGGAATTTTGAGAGATCTTAGATCTTCCAAAGATATTGAAAGACTTTTTCCAAAGTAACAAAAAATCCAGATTCCTGACTCCCAATAAAATGTCCTTTCTGTTAATTCATTAATTAATCTGAGACTGGGTAATTTATAAATAATAGGAATTTAATTCTCACAGTTCTGGAGGCTGTGAAGTCCAGGATCCAATCACAAGTTGGTTTGAAGTCAGTGAGGACCTGGTCTCTGCTTCCAAGGTGGCACTTTGAACATCCTCCTCTTGAACATCCTCACCTAGCAAAAGGCAGAAGGGCAAAAGGGCCTAATGCTGTGTGAAACCTCTTTTTATTAGGGCTTTAATCTCATTCATGAGGAAAGACCCATGACCTCTCCAAAATTCATGTTGAAACATAATCCCCAATGCAACCACAGTATTAAAGGCAAGGGGATTATGTTTCAACATGAATTTTGGAGAGGACACAAATATTTGAGCCATAGAAGCACATCCATTTCTTCACTGAATAGAAGAGATGACTCTGGATCAGGATGGACACAGAGGGCCATGAGGGACTGAGCATTGGAGTGCCTCCAGCATCAAGTGGGGTAGGGTCACTGATGGCCATGCCTGAGGCTCTCTGTCCTACAGCAGCATCGAGGTTCCATCTATGCTGGTGGGGAGTTCCCTCACAAGATGACTTTGTGTGTGTGTGTAAGTGCATGTTAGTGCCCATAACCACACAAGCATCCTCCCGCGGGTCTATTTCAGCAATGCAAACCTCACAAGAGGCCTGTGTGTGGCAGTAACGGCAAAACCTACCTCAACCACTGTGAGCTGCATCGCGATGCCTGCCTCACTGGATCCAAAATCCAGGTTGATTATGATGGACACTGCAAAGGTAAGCATGCTATCACCACTGCATGGTAACTCTACCTGTGGAGAGACAGGGGAGGGTGGGGTATGGCCTGGCTGACCATATGACCTTTCCACCAAGGTCACTGCCACCCAAAGCTGAGAAGACCATCCAGTTGGTTGGAGATGCACCCTCCTGACTTTCAGGAACCTGCTGGATTTTATGGATTAGGCCCCAGGGGCCTTCCTGCACCTACCTGCAGCTAGAGAGTAGTTAAGGTGATCACATAAATATAACAATAAGAAGAAAGTCCTTAAAGAAATTCCACAACTTTTCAGAATGTATAAATTAAATGTAGGTACTTCCCAACCCTGGTACTATTATGTTTCTTCTTTTTTGCACTCAAACCATTACCATTAGAGTAAAAGGGAAGGCATCCTGTGGTTGTTGCTAATTAGACACCAGCCCCCTGCCAAGCTATCGCCCTGCCCAGCCCTCCCAGTCTTGACCTCCCCTGGAGTAACAAGAAACTGTTTCTCAGGTGTTAAGTCCCCAATGTAGTCCCTGACCAGAATGTTTCTCCACGTGAATTCTCAAAATCCCAGGAAGCCTTCAACCCAACAGGAGGAGGTGTGAGATCAGGAGGGCAACCCAGTGGACACAAAATGTCAAACAAAGCAGAAAAGAAAAGATCCCATCCTTGGACCCTGGAAGAAGGAAAAGATAATCATTTAAGACAAACTGATGGAAAGGCTACAAACAGCCCTCCTTGAGTGGGGCAGTTTTAATCCTAGAAATATGCAGAAATTTTCTTCACTTTATGTTAACATATTTTTCCCTTTGTCTTGCAGAGAAGAAATCTGTAAGTCCATCTGCCAGCCCAGGTGAGTGCCTGCTTTTTTCCTGCTATGTGCAGGCATCTCTGAGGAAATCTTGTGTTGCCTGATCCTGCTGAGCACACAAGCTCTTCTGTTTTTCAGAACCTGTGACCCAGAACACAGCTCACAAAAGCTGCAAAACACTGCATTTTTAGGGGGTGCGTGCCGATTAAAGCAGCTGTTGGAGGTGGGGGGTGTTAGCTGTTTTCTATTTTCACTGCATAGTGACACTGCGTGGACAGGAAGGCCACTAAGTCCTTTTCCAACACTCTGTAAGCATGCTCATGTCACAGGCCTTTTGAGGGACAACCCCTTCGAAAGTTGATAACTGAAAATGCCAGTAAGACTTCTGTGGTTTTTTTCTGTCTATACAGATTAAAATCTTATCTTGAATTGTAGTTCCAGACCGATTTAGCCCATGCTTTATCCAGGTCCTCATAATGTCCTTGAGAGGTAGATCTTACTGTAATGACCTCACAAAAGAAGAAATTGAGTTTCTGCATATCACACAGAATATGAAGGGCATAGGAAGGGCAGGGTGAAGAAGAATGCCCACTTGTTCACATCCTTGGCTCAGTGCCCCCTTCACATCCCAACATATGTTGTCTTCCAGGAATTTCCTTCTGCCAAGGCTTTCTCTACTTTGTTTCCTCATCCACCCAACTCTGGATCCCACCTGTTGCTCCCACATGGCTTACAACAGCTGTCCAGAGCAGAGCTTTGACATGGCCCTTCCTTGGCCCTAGTTTTCTGTTGTTCATAAAAGAGGATGATACAGATGGTGTGGTGTGTGCCTGTGTGTGTGCCTGTGTGTGTGCCTGTGTGTGTGTGTGTGTGTGTGTGTGTGTAAGTGTGTATGTGTGTGTTACTGGGAATTGAACCCAGGACCTAGAGCTTGGCACATGCTTGCCACATGCTAGGCAAGCACTCTACCTCTGAGCTAATCCCCTGCCCTTTTTATTTTGAGATAAGGTTAGCTCAGGCTAACCTTGAATTTACGATCCTCCTGACTCAGCTTCCTAAGTCACTGGGATTACAGGTATGTACCACTGCACTCAGCAAGGTGGTGTAAAATTTTAAATGGGAGAAAGTTTTGATAGACCTGGTTGATAAAAACAGAGAAAAATCAGAAAAAAAAGGAAAAGAAAATCAGAAAACTTGTAGCATAACAAATGATAATGCTTTCATGTGTTCATGTGTTACTTTAGCTTATCTTGAGCCAAAAGAGCTGCTCTGCTCATTGATTTTTTTCCCCCTTTTTCTTCCTAAAGTTAATTAAAATGTTCTATATTTTTCTGCTCTATTTTTCCTCACTTAAGCAGCTCTGTTTCAGCATTTTCAATCTCAATCTTAATAAATGCTTTTAGTGAGATTAGCTTGACTCCTGGTTAGACACTTTCTGGTTGTGAACCCTTGTGTGATAATCCTGTCCCACCAGGTGCTGTGGGGATTGGATGGGATGACTCAGCCTGGGCATTGTGCTCCCCAGGGAGCGGGTGCCAGATGACCCTGGGGTCCTCCCTCACCACCTGGCTTATCTCTCTCCTCTTTCCTGCAGTCGTTTGCTATCAGGCCAATCGAGATGAGCTTCGGCGTCGCATTATCCAGTGGCTGGAAGCTGAGATCATTCCAGACGGCTGGTTCTCTAAAGGCAGCAACTACAGTGAAATCCTAGACAAGTACTTTAAGGTAATCAGTGTTGTAGTCAAGACTGTTCAGGCCCAGAGAAGGGGAAGCTTCCTTCTCCCATTGCCTGCCCAGGAGGAAATATGCAGCTGCTTAGAGTTCCTGGGTGTTTTCATGTTATTGACCATCCCACAAAGCCGTGGAGTTGCCCTGTGACCCCCTGGATAAATGGGAGTCCAGCAGTCAACCTTCAGGATCAAGCACTCACATGCCGCCCTCTTGGGCAGTTAAACCAAAGTTCTTAGAGAGGCTGTCAATGAGAAATATGCCCAAGCTCTGTCCCCTACCCTGTAAGACACCCACAGAGCTAGCTGCTGATACATGATACCTTCTGATCTCGCCCAGACCTGACCCACTTCAACCTTTTACCTGCCCAAATTAACATTTCTCTGTCACTGACTTCATCATCCATAGTCCTGAGTTTCCTCATCTAAGAAGAGTTAATGGACTGGCATCGCCTGGGTCAGAGATTCCTCATGAACCTCAGAAGTAACATCGCCCATCAGATTTACCTGAAGCAACTGAATTCTAATGAGGGTTGGGAAAGATGCTGGTTTCAAAGGGGAAAATGAAGGAGGAAATAGTATTTGGCAACATGTTGGACGACCTGAGCCCTCTCAGAGAGCCTGAAGGTGTATAGAAAGCAGTAAAGGGCACTCTTCCAGGTGATTGACAGGAACACAGACACACATAAGAGCATCACACTTAGAAGCACAGACACATACACACATGTGCAACAATAGGCCAGATACACATACCACCCACAGAAATGCACACATCACAGTGACAGGTACACACAGACACACACATTCCAGTACCCACATTCTCACAGAAGCACCAAAGCCCCCTTCACTTTATGACACAGATCTCTAGGTGGGTGCTTCACTTGCTTCCCAAGCCTGCTGTTCCTGGAGCTAATAAGCCATGACTTGGGAGAAGATTCAGATGCTCTAGGGACTACATGACAGCTCTGAGGGCACCCAGCACGCTCAACACCAGTCTAGTCTATGGATTCTTATTTTTTAACTATTATTTTGGAGCCTATAGATGGAGAAATTTTGAGTTGAGTTAAAAGAGGTGTTTGATCATTTAAGACTTCTCTTGTGTTACTGTTTTTAGATAGAAGCTTCTCTATGGCAGAGATTAAATCTCTCTGGATTCCAGGTTTTGGAGATCTCACCAAGATGAAAAAGCTTAGCTCTTCTCACTTTGTCCTCTCTCTCAGCTACTCCCACAGGACAGAACCCTTGGCAGGCGTGTTTCCCCTCCCATAGACAAACATGTTACATTGCTGAGCAGGAGAGTTGGACAGGAGCAAAAAGTAACTAAAAGAAAATGCTTTTTCCAAAGCCGAGGGAGTGGTTCCTGCAGGGCCTGTTGTGTATAGTGTCTTTGCCCTGTGATTGCAGCTGGAGCTGTGGGGCCCAGCAAGCTCCTTCCGGGGGGGCTCCAGGGACCTTGTAACTGTTTGTAGTTGCCCTTTTGTGGCACCCTGCCTCAGGCATCTCTGACATCTGCTATTTGATTTGATTCCCAAGAATCCAGGCCACACTGCCCCTTGACACATCTCCGCCTCCTCCCATCCCCAGCAGTAATGCTCTTGCAGGCTCCCAGCTGAAAACCGCAGGGCCCCTTGAGAAAGCAGCTTTTCTCTAGGGTGTTCTGCCAACTGAGTTTGACTGCTGCTGCCAAACACAACTTTCCTCTTCCCAGACACACTGGCAGTGTTGGGTTGTTGTTGTTTTTTAATGATTATCAGAGGCCTATGTGGTCTCTTCTCAGGGAGACTCCCTCCTTTACTAGGTCAACAGCTGCTTGCTGGGACAGATCTGACACCTCCCAGAGACTGAATTGCTCTCCAGTCTCACTGGTATCCCTTACATCAGAATAGTGGAAGAGCAAATATAATCAGAACTTGAATAAGGCTAAAATCTGCCTTTCACCTCAACCAGTGGTTCACTCATTGTTTCTTTGGTGAAAGAATTACAGAATGGAGAAGGGAAGACCAGCGGGAAAAGTGTCTTTCTTGCCCATGTCACCCATACCCTGTGACTCCAGATTGACTCCTGGAGGCCAGGCTTCTTGTCTCCCTTACCCTGGGGTCATGTACCCCATCGCCCCAGCTGCTGTGAGTGAGTCAACATCTGCCTCAACCCATCTGCTCTGAATAGTCTTCAAACTTAAAACCATGAGCCCCAATCATAAGTCTCCAAACATTCATCTTCCTGCCTTTCTACAATCCAGCAGTCCCACAGAGGGAAAGTGTTGTTGTCTCGAATATAGAGCCATGAAGTACAGGCATACAGAGGGTCTGTGTCTTTGTAACTGGTTGACTGAACAGAGGCCAAGTGAATTGTGTTGGATTACGGTTCCAGATCAAGACCCCACAGGCCTTTCATGCTATTTCTGGGGCAGATACCAGACCTGTGTTCCTATGGACTCCACATACTGAACTGGCCTGTGGAGGCCCGTCAGGGCCCTTATTAAGACTACAGACAGAATGGAATGTCCTCTCAGCCTCAAGCCTGCCTCCTGATCCCAGTGATACTGAAATGTGTGTATATAGCACTGCCTTTTGAGAGCCTCTGGCCTACAGTTGCCAGGTTCAAGGTGTCCACTGGGTCCCTCTGATAGTGAGTGTGCAGCCAGTGTGGGATTCTTCCCCTCCTACACATATTCTCTGACTACCCAGCACATGCAACATTCGGACTCCAGAAAGTCCTTTGCTCTTAAGAATATTCCTGGCCAAGCTTATTTAATTATGTTCCCTTAGTTAATCAAGACCTCACAGGTGAACTGCAGGGAAATTTCCTCAGGGAAACCATATAGTGAATAAGAGTATCTGAGATCTGTTCCTGGAAATCAGGACAAGAGTGATAACGAGGTCTAAGCAAGGTCCTCATAGTTGTTTTATATCCACCTGTCATCGCACATGCCATGGATAGATTTATAACTTTAGAGTGGTGCACATGTGGCACATGGCATTCATGCAGACAGTCAGTAGCTACATTTGTCCCTTCTGCCTGGAAACCTGGACAAACTTTCCTTCCAGAATTCCTTGCACCATCTGAGGAGCCACCTTGAAAGTAACATGGGATGCTGATTATTTCCCAGGGTAGCAGTATGAGGCAGCCCAGGGAAAGAATTTGAGAGTTAGGAAGGGAATGACATTGGAACTAGTTAGAAGAGCAGCAGCATCCATCGTGGAATTTGATCAGAACCTTGAAATAGACTCCTTCATGCAGCTATGGCCTGGGCCTCTTGAATGGTCCCAGATGTCTGAGGTCCCAGTTTAGCATTTTAACATGAAGGGACAATGCCTGAGCTCACTACACCCTCCTCTTGCACTCATGGGATGTCATCTGGGTGGTCTGGACAGCCTGCGTAGAGTAGTCTCTGGACCTGTGCACACATCTGCAATGGGCCCTCAGGGATTGGGGTCTTTGCACCACCCCTGCCTGCAGCTTACTGATTTGCCTTGACTTATCACTGCTGTGGTCAGTTATAGGTRTGAATGTGAAAGTTAGACCCTGAGATCATGGCAGGGAGGCTAGAATCATACAGCAAGACAGAGTTGTGTGATTCCCAAGGGAACTTGGAGGGTTACTTGCATTGCTGCTCCAGAGCAGTGAGTTAAAAGCACTGAGGTTTCACAGCTGCTGATTCATCACATGCGACTTCACACCCTGCTGTTGTGTGTGCATCCAGGTTTGAGAATGTGGTGTGGTGGCTGGTCTGTCCCCAAGCTGAGAATGTCTGCAGGGTAGGTAGTGTTAGGGCTGGCACAGAGCACACTCAGGCACCCCAGGCTTTGGGGGCAGCCCAGGACTTCTGTCCTGTCTGCCTTCCTGAGGAGGGTCTGGAGTGAAAGGCCTCCTGGTAGCTTTTATCCAGGTCTGTCACTTGCTTCCTTCTCTGGGTATACAGTGATCCAGCCTTTATTGCCATAGCTCTTCGGGACCAGGCCAGGACAGGACTGAAAGATGTCAAGAATGACATGAACCTGAGATGGGTCAGTCCTGGAGAGGCAACGATGGGATTGGGGCTCTACAATCCTTCCTGAAAATCTCTTCATACCCTTCTAGAATTTTGATAATGGTGACTCTCGCCTGGACTCCAGTGAGTTCCTGAAATTTGTGGAGCAGAATGAAACTGCCATTAACATCACCACCTATGCAGACCAGGAGAACAACAAGCTGCTCAGGTGAGATGAAGCAACGCTGCCTACAAGAGGGGACTCGAGCCCCTTCCTACCTGGAAAGAGCCACCCAGGCCAACATGAAGAAAAAATAGGAACTCTCTCCTGTTCTACTCTGTGAACTTTATGAACTAATATATTAAGAACTAATATACTGATCAGATATGTTGATATTTGATCAAATAGTTTTAGGCCAGAACTTACAAGGAAAAAAGACTGGAATTTTAAATTATCAAGGTCTCATCAGAGCACAATTGTTTCTGAATGATTTAGGTGATACTATATTGGTTAATTTTCTGAAGGAATTACATTGATTCAGTCTAAAATAGCTTCACTGCTGATTAGACAGTCAGTGCTGTTTCACGTGATCGCTCTAATTGTTATAAATGTATATCCCTCTCATTTTCTGGTATTATCCTAAAATAAATATTAAGAAAAATCAACCTCCACAAAACTTCTAATGTGGTTCCAGTACATCAGTAAGAATTAAAAATAGTAAAAGCTCCTCTCTTGTGTTCAAAAGAAGTGCAAAGCCCATCTTCTAAAAGGATTCTTCCTAAAAGTAGTCTATGACCTTAAGGTATAGAATCTGCAAATCCTTCATATTTTGGTAACCTGAAGTCAGATAAGGTTTTACAGTTTCAATGTCTGAAACTTAAAACATCCCAGCAAGAGAGTTGTCTTTCCTTTTTAGGTGAGAAACCAGGTTCAGAAACGTTGAATAACTAGCTCAAGACCATTTGGGTAGTAAATTAAGTCAGTGCTTAAATCCAAGCCAGGGGTGGTGTGAATGAACTGCAGTTCTATAAAACTCTTCTGAAAGATCTATTTCTAGAATGGTGGTAGTGTGATTCTTGCTTGTATGCCATATTCTTTCAAATCCCATATTCTTCTCATGTCATCTGTCATCTCTTCTGTTTTTGATTTTTTTGGTCTGATTGACTTGACAGTCACACCAGTGGGAAGGCAGTTGCTGGTGGAGGGTGTGCAGGTAGGGAAAACATCAATCAAAGTGGACAAACCCATTCACAAAACTTGAGTCATCTTGGGAGAACATTAGAACAAGTTTGAGTGATCCAGCATCCAGTTTAATAAACTGAAGGTTAGGTGCTTATAGGAGTCAGGGTCTGGGTGGTGCTTGAGACAGGTCAGTGTAGAAAGAAAACTGGTCAATGAACACTCCTCTCCCTGGCCTCCTGGAGGCCCCAGTTGTATGTGAGCCTGGTTCTTCGCTGTCTTGGGTGCGAGGCTGGAGCCTTGCTGATGTGTTTCTCCTGTGTTTTGTTGCAGAGGACTCTGTGTCGATGCGCTCATTGAACTGTCTGATGAAAATGCCGACTGGAAACTCAGCTTCCAAGAGTTCCTCAAATGCCTCAACCCGTCTTTCAACCCTCCTGAGAAGAGTATGCCTAACATAGAAATTGAGAGCTATTAGGCATGGAGGCATTTGGTGGGAACCAAGATAGAGAGGGTCGGTGGAATTCTCTAGAGTTGGCTGAGAAAATCCCTTTCCACAGTTCTAGTCTGGGCCCCAGCCCATCATCTCCATGGTGCTGTAAAGGTCCAAAAGGGTCTCTGTTGAGTGAGACAGTGTTGAGGGACAGGCAGGCCTTGTCAGGGAAAAGGGCAAGGTGCAGACTACCGCAAGAACCTTCACAACCAAACTATTGTCTTATTTCTGGTCCAACAGAGTGCGCCCTGGAGGATGAAAGGTATGCAGATGGAGCCGAGACCGAGGTGGATTGTAACCGCTGTGTCTGTGCCTGTGGGAACTGGGTCTGCACAGCCATGACCTGTGATGGTGAGCTGTGCCCCTGGCAGAAATAAGGAGCAGCTGGGGGCATGGGAAAGAGGACAGTGACTGGGAACAAGGAGCCCAAGCAGCGAGTAACAGACCCAGACTTGTAATGTCGGGGCTCCCAGGGGCAGCACTATAGGTGAAGTACTTGGCCCAGATGCATTAAGTTTGAAAATCACAGCTGAGCCTTCAAACAAGTGATGACTGAGACCAAGGCCACATGTGAATGTTGATATGAGCTGGAATGATCATAATGAAAGCAAACGCCAATTTAGGACTATGTGCCAGGCATTCTTCTAAGCACTTAATCCTTGTGACACTTTAGGGAATACTATATATAAAAGACTGAGGTGATTGGAAGTTAAAATAACTCCTCATTTTAACTCTTAGAATTGCAAATACCTAGCAGGGGGGGAAAATGAAAATATCTGTAGACCCTCATTGAACTATAGAATTAGGTAATCTAGTAAAATTTTTTTGAAATAATGTTGAAGTAGTTGAGACATGGGCAGGGAGGGATGGGGAGATAAAGATGTCAGAAAAAATTAGGGGGACAGAGCAGAGAGTAAAGGATGTGTTAGAACCAATAGGGTCCCATCACAGTCCTGGGCTACAATGATGGCAGAAATCAAGCCCTAGCAAAGAACTGGGGACTATTTAGTTTGGAGGCAAGGCAGAGAAGGGTGTTGAAGCCAGGTCTGGAATGGAATTGAATCACCTTAAGTTTGAGTAGAAAGGTCAAACCAGACCCAAAAGTTACACCGGAGGGCGTGAACCTAAAATTATATTTTAAAAAGTTAGCTGAGGCAAGAAGAAGTGGACTGGTACCTAAAATTGTATCAGGAAGATTAGGTAAAATGGGGACCGGGAGGAGGAGCTCAAGGAGCTAGGAAGAGCTTCTCCTGGACGAGGAGCTGAGGAGCACCAACAGTATAATAAACAGAGGCTCATGCTGTCCATAGAATCACTAGCCTACCACTGTCCAGGACCAAGTCCATTTTCACTGTGGACAGGAGACCAGCCTAATTCTAGGTAGGATCAGAGAGCAGGGAGAATATAGATATTAGCAATTTCTAGAAGTTGCTGGAAGTCAAGACCAAGCTGCAATAGCCAGAATACACACACAGTAGCTACTAAAGCCAGCAGAGAACATCTTAAAACAGCAGCTGGGCCTGCCTCAACCAGGAAGCACCCTTTGCTTGTCTTCCCCCCAACACCTTCAGTACATAACTGCTTTCATTCTGGATTTTGAAAGTTAGTCTTCCATTTCTAAGATGCAGGRGTCAGCATGCAGCTGGTTTGTAGAACCCTAAGCATCATTGTCTGGATAAGCCCCATCACGTGTATCAGATAAAATTCAAATCATCCCCTCCATCATTTGTTTATTTCCATAGGCACACAGCTCTAGACTGCTTGTTCTCCCTCCCAGGAAGGCCCAATTCAGATCTGTGTTTGGGTATAAAAATACAATTCAGGGATTGGGAGTATAATTCCGTGGTAGGGCTTTTGCCTAGCGTGTTTGAGGCCCAGCACATGTTCACTCCCCAGCACCACAAAAACTAAAGAGCAATCCCAATGGTGGTACCCCAAGGATCTTAGCATATCTTGATATGGAGGCCCTGGATCTAAGAGGAAATTATAGAGGCAGTATTCAGAGGCATTTCTGGGGTAGTGCCTGAAAGTTAGCAAACCGGTCTTAGGTCACAAATCCCAAAGGGAAAGCAAGCAGGGACATCAAGATGTTGTAGACCCGTGAAGCTAGGGCCAAGTGAAACTGCTGGGAGGGGCAGGTCAATGCCACTGCCTGGTGTTTCCTGATGGTAAACATTGTGATTGATACCCAGAGATTCCTGAGTCCCATCCTAAATGTACTGAATTAGAATCTGTAAAAAGAAGAGCTTGGGAACCTGTGTAGTTTTTTTGTTTGTTTTGTTTTGTTTTGTTTGTTCCCACACAAAATTGGGAAACATTACTAAATGTAGTGTTTATAACCCTGTCTGCACACCACAAGAGCCTCTTTAAAAAAATACTGATGCAAAGGCCCAACCTTACATAAATTAAATTTGAATCTCTGAAGATGAAAGCTAGGCTTTTTTTTTTTTTTCCTTTTGTGGTGCTAGGGATCAAAAGCAAATGTGGGATCTTGCTCGTACTAGGTAAGTGCTCTACCAATGAGCTCTCCCTCATCCAGCAATGATATATGTAAGTGTTCATCAGGGCATTTTGAGGATATGTAAGTGATTAAGAATCACTGCCCCAGAGGAATTTCCTGAGTCAGGACCCAGGTTCTCAACATAGCTTTTCTGCTAGGCCAGCCCCTGGCATGATGTGCTGAGCAGTTGAAAGACGTTGGGAACAGAGGCCAGAGAATAGTTGGTAGATTTCTTGTTTATAGTGTGTTACCTTGGAGATGTCAGTTGTATGAGACCCTGCATGGCTTCATACTCAAGAGAAATGTGAGCAATCTACTCTCCCTCCATAGGTTAAATGGTCGATGAGTTGAGAACCCATAAGGTAGATCTTAGTGAATTCCTCACAGGCTTACCACAGCTGCCAATGTCTGAGCTTTGGTTCTTTTTGCAGGAAAGAATCAGAAGGGGACCCAGACCCAGACAGAGGAGGAGGTGACCAGATATGTCCAGGAGCTCCAAAAGCACCAGGTGAGTGGTGGCCACTGTGTTGGTTCAGGTATTGCTGCTGCCTCCAGGCCCTTCTCTCAGTCACTGCCCACTGCCCCAGGAGACCAAGGAGACACACTTTCTTCAATACAGTAGATCCTGCATGATATCATTTCACATGCATTATCAAACTGGGATACAGTTTTTGATGAAGTCCTCTAAGAGCCCAGCAAGACCCAACAGATGTAAGTTACAACTTGGTGAGTGACTATATAAGTAAGAATTGGCAAGGTGGCTATTAGCAAGTGAGCATGGTCTGAAGCAGTATTAGTGTTTCCTATCATGGCGTGCCCAGACCCAGTTTGAAAACTGCTCTTGGAGAGCAGGCTCTGTAACTTGCTCATCGTTGTGCCTTGCTCATCTGGCACTGGGTCTGGTATGAAGTAGACACTCAGTGAGAAATGAGTGGATTCATACCTCAATAGAAAGGATCTAAGTTCAATACCATATGGTCAGAGAAGAACCTGTGATTGACAAAAATTATCCTTCCTGGAGATTCAAAAGGAAGTAAATCAGAGTTCTGTTCAGAGTATATGTCAGTGTGTTGAAAGCCTCTTTAAGGAAAGCTCTCTTAGCAGAGTAGAGGTCCACTGAGGCACTGTGGCAATATTGGGTCCTGGGCCTGTCCTTCTACCACTGTGCTGTGTAGTCTTAACAGGATACTGCTCCTTGCATTATCTATCTGTTGACTAGATCTAATAATAGAAGCCTTCTCCCTGACGTTTGAGTTTTTAAGGAATATCACAGTCACAAAAGCTGCTAAACCACTGAGATGAAATGTTTAACATGAGTTAAAAAAAATTACTGTTGATAGTAATTGTTCATATTTATTGATCATTCTTTTTTAAATATTTTTTCAAATATACATGGACACAATATCTTTATTTTGTTTGTTTATTTTTATGTGGTGCTGAAGATCAAACCCAGGGTCTCTCACATTCGAGGCAAGCGCATCTAGTGTGGAGAAGTTACAGTGGAGTAACAGATGGTGGGGAGTGAATTACAGTAGCTAACATTTTTAATTTTCTCTGTCTTATGGGAATTTCTTCAGAAGCAGACACTGAGACAAGGACTCAAGTAGAGCATTTATGTGGGAGGCAATCCCATAAAACAGCAGAAGTGTAGGGAAATGCACTCAGGAAGGAAGCAATAAAGAGTGTATTCAGATTAGGCATGAAGACACTCACCTATAATCCCTGCTACTTGGCAGAAGGACTGCAAGTTTGAGGCCAGGCCAAACAACTTAGGGAGACCAAAATAATAATAATAAAAAGAAGAATATCCAGGCAAGGCACTACAGGGGCACTCGGAACTTAATCCTATTGGGGAACTCTGGGAACTGAGTTACTGTGCCTGAGATGGGAGGAACTGGAGTATTTCTACAAAAACTCACATCAGCCATTGGCTGAGGGCTACTTGGGTTCATTAATTCTCTGGCATTTCTGGCTACAGCACGTGCAGGCAGTGTAGACTTCCAAAGCTAGAGAAAGCCCTCAGGCAGAGGTGCTGGTGTGGCAGTAAGAAGCCATGCCAGTTTCCACCAAAACAGTTGAAGCAAGGGGCTGGGGATGGAAACTGACTGTGGCCAGTCACTGTGGCCAATGGTTTTTTTCTAATTATTTTTTTTAAATTGAGGTATAATTCAGTGCTAAAAAATATGCAATTTAGTGGGTTTTAGTCTATTCAGTTCTCACCACTAATTCTAGGAAGAATTCTCCCTCTGCCCTTGGCAACCACAAATCTACTTTCTAACTTGATTTGATTTGCCTATTCTAGATATTTCATAAAAATAAAATCATTCACTACATGGTCTTTTATTTATTTATCTTGTGGGGGGTCTAATTCTTTAACTTGGGATAGTGTTTTCAAAGTTCATCCTTACAGCATGAATCACTCCTTCATTCCTTTTTGTGGCTGAATACCATTGCACATATACCACATTTTGTATATCCATTCATCAATTGATGGATGTTTAAGTCATTTTAATTTTGAGCCCTGATGAATGATGCTGCTGTGAATATTAATTGTACAAACTTTTGTGTCGGTATATGTTTTCAAATTTTTTTATGAACATGTATTTTTTTTTAGTCCGTTTTTTCACTTCTATGATTAAAAGGATCTGATCAGAACAACTATAGAAGAGGAAAAGTTTATTTGAGGGCTCATAGTTTCAAAGGTCATACTCTCTAGAAGGCTGGCTCCATTTCTTGGGATGTGTGGCAGAGGGAAGCAGCTCACATCATGGTGATCAAGAAGCAGAGAGAGAGACTCCACTTTCCAGACACAAATATATACACCAAAGCCACGCCCTAATTTCCACTGCCTCCAGCCACACCCCACCACTCAGTGAATCCCTATCAGGGGATTAATTCACTGATTGGGTTAAGACTCTTACAACCCAGTCATCTTTCCTCTGAACTGTCTTGCATTGTCTCACATGTGAGGTTTTTTCCTTGGCTCCTGCTTTTGGAGACTTCCCCAATCAAATAAATGAAGGCATTTGCCATCATCAGGATACCCAACAACTCACATCCAAACCATAATGATATTTTTTTAATTCTCTTATATACCTGAAAGTGCAATTGTTGAGTGATATGGTAACTCCATATTCAGGACTATTTTCCAAAGTGGCCACACCTCTGTACATTCTCATCAAAAGTGTCCTAACTTCCTCCCACCCTTGTCAGTATTTTCTGTTTTTTTTTTTTCTTGTTTGTTTAATTTGGTTGTTTTTTTGTTTGTTTGTTTTGTTTTATTGTTACTAGGGATCAAACTCAGGGCCTTGGACACACCAGACAAGTTCTCTACCACTAAGCTATATCCCCAGTCTTTTTCTTTTATTTTGAGACAGGGTCTTACTAAATTGCCCAGGCTGGTCTCACATTTGTACTCCTCCTGTCTCAGCCTCCTGAGCAGCTGTGGATAGAGATGTGCACCACCACACATAGCTGTTATTATTTTTATTTTAGCTTCGATAGTGGAAGTGAAGTGGTATCTCATTGTGATTCTGATTTGTATTTCCCTAATGACTAGTGATGTTGGACATCTTCTTAAGTCCTCATTAACTATGTGTATCTTCTTTGAGAAAAATGCCAGGCAGTGTTGTAAAAGCCAGTACTTTCTTATTCTCATTTTACTGTTGGAAGACATTGAGATACAGGTTTCACAGTATGCCCAAGGTCACCAAGAAAGTAGCACAGTTGAATTCAAGTTCAGACTGTCTACTTCCAGAAACTATTGTTGCTCTTAACACTTCTCTGGGACTTTTATTTATCCGTATCAGTATCCTTTTATTTATCCGTAAAATGGAAATAATAAGGTCTGATCTTGTTTCATAGGAGTGCAGATGGAGTCAGCTCTGAATTCAGTAAAGAACTCCTACTTACCAGAATTCAAATTCAGCATAAGAATGTATCTGTTGGGGGCTAAGGTTGTGGCTCAGTGGTAGCGCGCTTGCCTAGCCTGTGTGAGGCACTGGGTTCGATTCTCAGAACCACATATAAATAAATAAAGTAAAGGTCCACTGACAATTAAAAACATTAAAAAAAAAAAAGAATGTATCTGTTGGGCTGGGGTTGTGGCTCAGTGGTAGAGTGCTTGCCTCACATGCGTGGGGCACTGGGTTCAATCCTCAGGACTACATAAATAAATAAAATAAAGGTATTGTGTCCACCAACAATTAAAAATTTAGAAAAAAAATTTTTTTTAAAAAAAGAATGCATCTGTCAATGACAGCTATATAAAGTCTTGAGACCCAGATAAATGCCAGTGATTTTTTAATATTTCCCTGATGATTATTTTCTCTTACATCTCAAAGGAAACAGCTGAAAAGACCAAGAAGGTGAGCACTAAAGAGATCTAAGAAGAGGCACTTAGACACAGTGTCTGGAACCCAGCACCTTCTCTTCCACTCCAGCGCTGAGTCCAGTATACGCAAGTGTCTGCTACAATCGCCAAATCACCAGTATTTGCTTATATAGCAATGAATTTTATTTTGTTTATTTGTTTTGCAATAAAGGAAGTGGGGGTGGCTGGCTAGTAGGGGAAGGGCCATAGCCTTCATTTCTAGGAGTACTTCCAGAGAAACTGTGCTCTGGGGCTAGAGGCAAGTAAAGAAACTGCATCAGGGTGGGGAGGGAGCAGACCCAGATCTGAAGCCTTTCTGAGTCCACCACAGCTGTGTGCAGACTGCAGGGAGAGACACGCAGTGCCAGAGAAGACTGAGCAGGCCGTCCCTGCAGGAGGACAGTGGAGAGGAACTCATTCTGCTTTCATCCCATGCTGTTGCTACTGTCAGCATGACAGACCTCCAGCATCTCTGCTTCTCCACTGCCTTTAGATACACAACCACCCTGTTAGTTACCTGTGTCCTGCAGGCTTGGATGGAGTTTCTGGGAGGGTATGCCCAAATGATGCAGATACTTGCATACTTCAAGCCCCGTAGAGACTTAACCAAATTTTTTTAAATACTTTTTACCAAAGGTGCTATATCTCTGTCAAACACTTTTYTTTTTGGCAAGTTGACTTCATTCTTCAATTATTATCATTATATTATTGTTGTTGTTTTATAATATTTTATTTTCTTGACTAGATATTAAGCTTTTGTAATTATTTTCCAGTACTACCATTTCAGAGGTGGAAGGAGTTTGGGATTCTTCCTGGTACAGGAACTTCTATAACCCAGACCCCCCCACCCCACCACATACTAGAGTAGATATACCCTACAGTGTCAGCACCTCTGGCTTCTAGCAGATCAGCTATGTACCACAATGGGCAGAAGTTTCCTCAGACAGAAGCCTGGGGATGAAGCGTCTTCATATAAAGCTTTCAAGATCCAAAAAGTTAATTTGTTTTCATTTATTCTGAGAAGTTCAGGCAAATCACTATTTGAAAGGCTGGAGGCTTACAATGCCTCCAACATGCTCATTGATCTGCCATTAGCTAGCACAGTGATATGGCCCCTATCTCCTGTTACTGGGCCTCAGTTTCCTCAGTGAGCTGATAAGAATGCATTAACCTTTTGATCTGACAGATTTTGTGGTTCTGGTAATTAGTCCAGAGCCAGGTAGGTTCCTGTGATTTTCCTTCTTGTGATAAACCTTATCAACAAGAAGAGGCAGATAGCCAAAAATAAGATGTCCAAGTTTGACCTCAGCCTGAATGACCCTTGCCAGGCCTCCATGGGAAAGTGTGCCCAGGAGGAGAGTGCAAGAGAGAGAACCACCCCTCTGTCTTTGGCTGTGCATGGCACGGGCAATCTCTTGTTGGAGTCAGAAAGAGCTTTCCCTTTAGAGAAGAGAACAAAAGAAGGTTTGACATTTGAGGGGGTGAAAAACAGAGACGGAATTTTCAAACTGAACCTTGGGGAGAAGTCATTTGTTCACAGTCAGTCCTGTGTCTGTGGCCTTGGATTATTATACCCGCTCATTACCCTGTTTTAGATGTGTTTGTCATAACAAGGGTCAAACATTTGAAGAACTTATTTGCAAAAATTAAATTACATATTATGTAGTTTGTATGCACAGGCAATTGTGAGAAAGTCTACCAGAATTCCTTCTAAGTAGTTTTCCTTGTTCTATTTGAAAGGGGAAAATTCTACTTCACTTCTAATTCTACAAAAAAATTCTTTCATGTACCATCCCATTTAAAAAATACTTTGAACCTCCCCACCCCCTTGTGCAGTCTGAAATGCAGCTCCCTGTCCAAGTGCCTTGGAGAACTCACAGCAGCATGCCTTAATTAAAAGAAGTTTTGCCAGTTTTTGGACACAATGAGAGAGGGCAGGAGTCCTAGTTGGTTTAAAGCAAGAAGCCACAGTGTCTGTTCACTGGTCACATTTAGAACAATGATTACCATCCAAGACTCTACCCAACCCTGCAACATTGAATTCCCAAGAGCAAATCCACATTCCTCTTGAGTTCTGCTGCTTCTGTGTAAATAGGGCAGCTGTTGTCTGCATCATGAGATCACATGATCTGAGGACCATTCATGGAAAAGCTGCTAAATAGCCTAGTTTGGGGAGTCTCACATAGAGCTTTGCATGAAACGAACATGCAGGATCAAATCAGGTTCAGTTCTTTCAGCCCTCTGAAAGCATGTAAGGCATAGCTGCAAGCTTTTGGGGCTTTCTGTGTGCGTGTGGTTTTATAAGCAGTGTCTGCTAAGATCCAGTGTCCATGGAAACCTTCCCACATGCCGTGACTCTGGACTATCACTGTTTGGGGAAAGCAGGGCTCTTCCACCAGCTAATAAGCCCATGTGAACCAGTCTGAATGTCTTTCCTTTAGCCTATGATTTAAATAGTCAAACTTCAGGAAACAATTAACAGGTTTGTTGCCTGTGTGTTTGTGAAAATGTATTTGTATTTAGTATGCTTCCATATTGCATTTAACTTGTTTTTGTAACCCCTGATTTTTTTTTTGGTTACTATTGATAAATAAAAAAAATAAAATAATAGTTTTATTGTTTTCCTTCCCTTCAGTCAAGGCCAAATAAAATTGTGCAAACAAACAATAACCACTTTCCTCATAAAAGTAAACTTGAGTTTCAGGAACCTTTTTTTAAAAAGGTACTAAAGAGTCTGTCCTAAAGGCATCTTGGGTGTTTAGTGAAATAAGCCATACTCAAAAATCAAGGGTCAAATATTTTCTATTATTCAGAAGCTAGAGAGAAAAAAGGAATTAAAAGGGGGATCTCAGAAAAAGAGGGGGGAAATCAGTAGAATAGAAGCGTAGGTAAATAGGCCATGTGATTTTCTAAAACTACCAACAAAGTTTTCTGTTCCCCCCCCCCCAGTATTGGGGATTCAACCCAGTGCCTTGTTGATGCTAGGCCCATGCTCTATCACTGAGCTACACCCCAAGATTTCACTTTCTGATTTTTTAGAAATATGTGGACATTTATAGGCAGTACATTTAGTTACCAATGGGAATCAAATCTAAAAACCATGCAAAATCAAATGGACCAGATTGTGAACCTGTGCTTCTTTCTTGTGTCTATTCCTATCTGTTGGATTAGAATTGTCAACAGTCCACAGTAATAAATTCATGGTATTCCAGCTCTCTGAATGAATTTCTATTTGCATTTTAATAAATATCTACAAAGCACCTGTTATAAAGCAGCATTGCAGAAAAGGCCAAATATGAGGAAGAAAGTGGTCAATGTGAGCAAGGGAGCAAGAACTGAACTAAAGAATCCAAGAGGAGAACTCTTCTAAGTCCAGTGACGATGTGGGAAAGAGAACAGAAAATTCTTATTTGGACATGAAGTTTATATAAACATGAGTGGACAACCGGAGGACAGAACTGAATACGGGAAGCCAAGTTAAGACAATGAATTCTAAGCCATTATTTTTTGAAAGGACAGTTCTGTGGCGAGTTCCCCACTGAGTCCCTGCTGAGGAAACAAAGGAAGGGATGAAAGCTGAGAAGAAAAAGAGGGCTAATCCAGGGCCCCCACCTCCCTGGGTAAACCTGACTGTCAATGCCCAAGTTAGACACAGGAGGAGAAAGGGTGTTTTCCCAGGCTCCTGTTTGTGTTATCTGAGGCTTTCTTTTTTCTAACAATCTAATCTAATGTATCCAGTATCTGATTAAAAGACAAATCCATTGACAAAAAAAAAAAAAAAAAGAAGTGTAGGACCAAGGGTAAGGGCAAAGGGAGAAGAAAGAGGAAAAATTGGGGAATGAAGTTGACCAAATTATGCTGTGTGCATGTATGAATATATCACAATTTATTCCAATTTTATATATAACTATGATGTGCCAATTAAATAAATAAATTGAGAAGACATTTTGGGAATGCAGCTGGGAGGGAAAGTTTACTTGGGCTAGTAGGATGGTGGATGTGGATAGAGAGTGATGAGAAGTCAGGGAGTGACTTGGTCCATTCAGACTGCTATAACAAAATAGCTTAGACTGGGTAATCAATTCATTGTTCAGTCTGGAGGTTGATAAGTCTAAAGGCACAGCAGTTTAGGTGTCTGATGATAGCTTCTTCTCTGCTTTAGAGGGGACCTTCTTGTTGCACATGGCAGAAGAGGTGAGCAAGCTCTTTTGAGCAAACTATTCAGCCCCTTTTTATAAGGGCATTAATCCCATTCCTGATGGTGGAGTTCCTATGACCTAATCAGTTCCCAAAGATCCCGTCTCCTAATGCTATTGTATTGGGCATTAGTTTGCCACCTGTGAAAGTTGGTGGTGGGGACACAAACATTCAGAACATGGCAGGAAACATTCCTATATTGGGAAGAGGTTAAACTAAAATGATTCTTAAAGGCCCTAGTGAGTCTTCTGAGACTGGATGGCATCTAATGAGGCTAACTACAGATAAAACTGTATGAGAAACCAAGAAAACTTGGGAAGGTGAAACAAGGAATCGTTGCTGGAAACGGGTTGCAATACCTTAATGACTTCCTTTATGCATACTCCCTTTGGGATCAATATTTCCAAGTGGACCAAATGCTGGTTGGTTAAATCATAAGTGGTTAAGACTTCTTTCTGCTCCTCCTTCAAGATACATGAGCAATACTTGCTTTCCAACTTCTCATTTTCATAACTATGGTGCACTCCCAGAACCACTAATTCTATCTTTCTAAAATAACACATTTGATAAGTTTTAAAGTTTCTTAGTATCACTTATATCTGTATAAATCTTGCTTCCCTAAAATTATAGCCAGGTAACCTTGATTGGATTTTGGAATTGTTCAAATGAGTGGGTGCCACCATGCCTGGTCATAATCGTGTTAAATCCTGGCTGTCTTCGCCCAACCTCCCATCAGGATCTGGAACATTTTTCCTACTGTTACAGCATATGTAGGTTGAGAAAGTAAAAAATTATTAAAATAGAACAACATACTTCAGAAGATAAGTTTCCTATAATTAAAATTTAATATTATTAATTAGACAAGCATAAATAATATATAAGCATAAATTAGTTTGATTAGCGTTAGTTTTTTTTGAGTAGCTGTATCAAGTTCTATAAGTCCTCCAATTACTTCTAAAATGAGGGGGAGGGGAGAGAAAAATAGAATATGAATGAGTGGATAAGATGTAAGCAGATGCTCAGTCCTGAAGCACATCTAGCATGGATGTGGAATATGAAGACATTCATGGGCTACTGCTGCTGGGCTGGGGATTGTTTAATGGCATGGGATAGGAAGAAAATGAGGCCGTGTAGTCTTCCTGTCAATTAGAAGGAATTTTTTTTCTAATTATTTAATATGTTATACTTGAAAAAGTAATATGCACACCTAGAAATAAAAAATCTCAAGTTGTATTGAAGAAAATATAACAAAATCATCTTCTTAGGGGACATATACATTCATAAATATACTTATAATTGCCAGTTTCCTTCAAAGAGGTTGTATCAATAGACAGTTCCACCAAAAGGACATACATTAAGTGTTTCTATTTCCCTACATTTTTTGCAAACTTTTTTTTTGGCTACTAATAGAAGAAAAATGAAATTCCTCATTGCTTTATTTTTAATTGGTTGATTATATTATTTATTTTGTAAGATTGAGCATCCTTCCATTAATTATTTCATTTCCTTTGCTCTGTTTGTTGTTGGCCTTTATTTTATTGATTTATGGATTTATGTCAGTAGCCTTTTGTTATAAATGTGGCAATTATTTTCCCCCTTTTGAATTTATTTATAGTATTCTTTGTCTCATTGAAAGCTTCACTATTTATATAAACTAATTCATCCATCTTTTCCTCTCTATCTTTAAGACAAAAGAACTTTAAACTCTGTGCCATTATTGAATCCTAAGGACAGAAAACAGCCAGAGCAGAACTTTGAAGTCCTCAAAAAGAACAGAAAATGTCCACTTACGGGGATAAGAGTGGCATGATGTAGTCATTGCCAGCGTTAGGGAGTGTATAAACTAAATATACCATTACAACCCAGGGAATATTCCAGAACAGAGTATTCCAACTGGAATAAGCACAGTACAGAGGTGGATCCAAACTGAACTACAATTATTCTATTATCTATTAAGGGTGATTTCTATTTCTACAGTAAAGGCAAAATGGAGACTGAAATCAACACCATTTATGTTCATTTAGCAAATTATTTTGTGTCTCTACTATTTTCCAGGCATTTTATTTCTTTTTAAAATTTTTTTAGTTGTAGATAGACACAATACCTTTATTTTATTTATTTATTTTTATGTGGTGCTGAGGATCAAACCCAGTGCCTCACATGTGCTAGGCAAGCTCTGTACTACTGAGCCACAACCCCAGCCCTGTTCCAAGTATTTTCTAAGAGTTTATTGTGAGTGCTTGGACTCCTCAGTGACCAGTGAAAAGAGACRATGATTTC